TCCCGGACAATCCCCCGCCCAAAATTCAATTTATTCCCGTTTTGCTCTCCTTTCCCCTTCTTTCCTTCCGTTTCCCCCAGAATTTTCCTCATTTTCCCACATAATTTTCCCCATTTTCTCCTCTTTTTTTCCCCCATTTTTCCCTCTTTTTTACCCATTTTCCCAATTTTCCCTGTTTTTCTCCCATTCCCCCATTTTTCCCTTTTCCCCCCATTTTTTCCTTTTCTCCATTTTCCCCTCTTTTCCCCCATTTTTCTCCCATTTTTCCCTCTTTTCCCTCAATTTTCCACTTTTTTCCCCCATTTTCCCTCTTTTTCTCCCATTTCTTCCTTTTCCCCCATTTTCCCTCTTTTTCTCCCATTCCCCCATTTTTCCTCTTTTTTCCCCATTTTTCTCTTATTTTCTCCCATTTCCTTCCATTTTTCCTATTTTCCCCAATTTTCTTCTCTTTTTTCACACATTTTCCTTCCTTTTCCCCTTTTCCCCCCCATTTTTTCTCTTTTCCCCAATTTTTCTCCCATTTTTTCTCTTTTCCCTCCGTTTTCCCTCTTCTTCACCAGCCCTCCTCCGGGCTCTGGAAAAGGGTCTGGAAAACAAATTTGGGATTTGGGAGCTCAGAATTCCCAAAAAAACCCGGGATCATCCGGAAATCCCCCCATCCCGGACAATCCCCCGCCCAAAATTCAATTTATTCCCGTTTTTCTCTCCTTTCCCCTTTTTTCCTTGTTTATTCCCCTTTTTCCCCACATATTTTCCCCCATTTTCTCCACGTTTTTTCCCCCATTTTCTCCTCTTTTTCTCCCATTTTTTCCAATTTTCCCCATTTTTCCCTCCTTTCCCCCCATTTTCCCTCTTTTTCCCCCATTTTTTCCTTTTCCCCCATTTTCCCTCTTTTTCTCCCATTCCCGCATTTTTCCGCTTTTCTCCCCACTTCTCCCGCTTTTTCTCCCATTTCCCTCCATTTTTCCAATTTCCCCCAAATTTCTCCTCTTTTTTCTCCCATTTTCTCCTTTTTTCCCCATTTTTTCCTTTTT